CGTCCCCCCACACCGCAAGATGGCGGCCGGGAAGGGCCCGCAGTCGGAAGTGACGACCCGCATCCTGCTCCTCCCCCCATGGGCGCGGGCGGGCCGGAGGAGGAGGAAGAGGAGGAGGAGGAAGAGGAGGAGCCGAGGCCCGGCCGGGGAGGGAAGGGAAGGGAAAGGGGGTGGAGAGAGCCGCCGGAGTGGACGCCGGCGTCATGGAGACGGTCACTTCCGGTTTCGACCGGAAGTGGACTTGCCCTCGCTTTCTCCCTCCAGCTCTGAGGGGATTCGTCGAGGCGGAGGCTGTACTGAACCACCGTGGGGGGCAAAAAACATAGTTTGATTTCTTAATTTGGAAATAGCCATACTATCTGAAAGCGTAAGAAGCATTCGCGGCGAAGTTTAGAGAGGCGTCACTTTCCGCGCATGCGCAGTCGAGGCGCTCTGCGTCTGCCTAGAGCGGCGCCCCGCCCCGCTTGGCTGAGGCGACTTTCCCAAAATGGCGGCCGGCCCTTTCGAAGCGGAAGTCCCTCAGTTGCGTAACGCGGCCTCTTTGGAGAGAAAGGCGGTGGGAGCGGATACTTTCACCGGAAGTGGCCCGCCGAAAGACTGGCGGAAGTGCTTCAGGAAGATCCTTCTTTTACCCTGAAGTGGGCGGGAAGAGGGAGAAAGTAGGCATAACGGCAGGGAAGCGTCGGGCGGGGCTTTGGTAGAACCCCCGTTCCTGATTGGCTAAGCTAAAATACTTTGGTCTTCCTACCAGACGCAAACAGAACGTTCCTGCCCGAGAACGGAGGCGGGGCCAGTGACGTCACACCACCCCTGGCCAGTGGCTTGACGGGCATTCCCCCCTTCGCTCTTACGTCCTCCTTCGAACCTGTGACGTCACAGATTGACAAGTGAACCCACCCACCCCCCGCCAGGTGGACTTGGAAGCATCAGGATTTAGGTTCCAAGGACTGACCAATCAGTGCTAAGAAAGCGCCTGCTCCTATCCATGATGGAGACTGGAGATGCAGGTAGACTGCATCTGGTGGTGGAGGATCCATGGCTGAGAAAGTCCAGCAGCAGCTAATGAAACCCCCAGGGGACATACAGGCATCACACCACAGACTGATTTGGAACAACCTGATTTTGAATTTTTCAGTAGAAAAATTCTCTTTTCTGGCATCCTTTACTACTCCACCTCCTCCTTCTGCCCTAAATGATGGGATCTGTAGTCCTTAGTCATTTTACAGGCTCCATCTAATGGGGCTGTATGGTCTTCCCTTCTCCTAAGTCAAACATCCTGGAATAAATTCGCCCCCTCCCGCTCCTGCCAAATGTGTCATCCTTCCCCAAAACCTATAAATGATGTCATTTCAGGATTCCGACAGGGCTTAGAAATAAAAAAAGCAAAAAATAGATTTTTAATTCCTTATCCATCTCTGCGTCTCGGTGCTCAAAGCGGCTGTTTTGAGCTCTCCAAGGAGCGTCCCTCTAATGCTCCCGTCCCGCAAGACTCCGGCGCCCATCTGCCCCTTCCCCTCATCTCAAGAAAAAGCCATGAGGCTAAACAAAATTGGACTCCCAGCTTCCTGCCCTCCCCTGAAAAGGGCATTTATCTCTTCCCCCCCCCTCCCCGGCCCAGTTTTCCTCCAAGGGCCTTGCCTGCTTGCCCTCAAACACAGAAACTCCATTACGGAAGTGCAGAGCTGGCAGCCGGCGGCGTGACCTTTTCCGTGGGGACAAGGTTATGGGGATCTTTCCTCTGCTAAAGACGCTTTCTCTCCAATAGATGTGCAGAACAAATAATGGAGAAAACCCATCGCACGAAGAAAGCCCTGCATTTTATTGGCAGTGGGGACTGGGAAGGAGAAATTGCTCACAACCCCTTGGGTTTCTCAAAGAGAAATAAAAGCGCTTTTTTGGCATGGTCCTTCTTCAAGCATGTCTCTTTTGCTGGAATTAATTTGGCAGAAATGGGAAGGAGAGGCTTATGAGCGAACCTGGCACTAGAGAGAAATGTGTCAGGTCTGTCTCTCAAGGTAAAATTAAAATAACCATCCTAAAAATCGAGAAACAGTGTCTATGCCTGTTGAAAACGACCACCCCTAGCTGATGCAACTCAGGGTGGTGCTAGCTGGCAGCGATGGGAGTTGTAGTTATTGACCAGGAGGAGAAGGCTGGGGTGTGGGATCACTCCATGGCGCCATTTCACAGAACTGTCCGCAGCCCGCTGAAAAGAGCAGACGCGCGAACAGAGGAGGAGAGAAGAAATCCGTTGTCTTTTATTCAAGAGTTATCCTGATTTGTGTTTTTTTGACTACAAGTCCCAGAATTCCCAAGCAGCAGTGCTGTGGGATTCTGGGAGCTGTGGTCCTGAAACACAAATCTGTGCAGCTCTGCTGTGAACTAGGGTGTGCGTGTGTGTGTGCACACTCCTTTTTTGGGGACTACATTTCCCAGAATCCACTGTGTTGAAAAAAAAAGGGAATGTATCCCATCTGTGATTCCTTCTATGACCAAGTCCTGGTGGGTTTTCTTCCTCTTGCCAGTCTCTTCCTCTCCCTTTATCTGTCTTCCTTGCTCAACCCTCTTGGAATCATAGAGGGCGGCGGTTCCCTAGAGGTCATCCAGTCTACTCCCACCTCTTCTCCATCCATCCAGGCCCTGTTGAAGCCTCCTTAGCCCCCAGGGCCCCTCCGGCCTCCGTTCCAAACCCTCCGAGGAAAGACCATCTGCGTCTTCTCCAAAGCACCGCCAAGGTCAAACCAGCGCAACCGTCAAGACCTGTTTCTGAGCGCAGCGTCAACATCCCGCCGTCGCCGCCCCCCCCCACTTCCTTGTGATCACTTTTCTCAGCTCACCCTCGGTGGTGGTGAATTATTCAGGCCGCCGTCTGAATCATCAAAGCTGAATCACCAAAGCACCGCAAGCAAAGGAAATATATGCACACATAATAGAGTTTATTTCTCCATTTCCTTTTTTAAGAGAGGGCGTTTGTGCCTGGCATGCACCTTACCCTGATTACGGTGAAGGGAGAGAGAGAGAGGGAGAGAGAGTTTTGAAAAGTAAATAGCTAGATAGCTTGTGCCTGGCATGCACCTTACCCTGATTACGGTGAAGGGAGAGAGAGAGAGAGAGAGTTTTGAAAAGTATATAGCTAGCTAGATAGACAGATGGATGGATGGATGGGAGGATAAATTGTGGAATACAGATAGAGGGATAGATTGACAGAGAGAGACACATACACAGACAAACCTGATTACGGTGAAGGGAGAGAGAGAGAGAGAGAGTTTTGAAAAGTATATAGCTAGCTAGATAGACAGATGGATGGATGGATGGGAGGATAAATTGTGGAATACAGATAGAGGGATAGATTGACAGAGAGAGACACATACACAGACAAACGTAGAATGATGGATGGATGGATGGATGGATGGATAAATTGTGGAATACAGATAGAGGGACAGATTGACAGAGAGAGACACATAGACAGACAGACAAATGTAGAATGACAGATGAATAGACAAGCAACCCCCGGAGCCATCACCTTCCAAATTCCACTAGGATTCCCCCCCCCAATGCACACACATGTCAACTTAACAACCACAAAGAGCTGGGTAGGGTTGGGAAGGTATGATCCTGGAGATCAGAAGAGACCCCGTGGCCCCCCGTCGCTCTGGGCCGTCCCTGGGGCCTCTCCCCTGCCCGAACCCCCCTTTTCATAGCACTCGAGAGGGTGAGACCTCAGCTACGCTTTGTGGCGGGGAGTCCCACAGCCCCGAGGGATGGAGGGCTGTCCCGAACACCATGCTCCGGGTTCTAGAGGCGTGTGTTTTGCATGGGGGGGTTGTGTAGATGACATGCATAAAGATGTAGGGGGAGCCAAGCACTCTGGTTTGGGGGGGCTCTTGTACTCTTGACGCATGCACCCTAGATCTGTTGGCCAGCACATGTGCATTAAGGATAAATTTGTGTCCCCTTTTTCCTGCTTTCTCTTCCCCTCCCCCAATGCCTCCTTTTCCTGCAATGCCAAAGTGGCCACGGGGGTGGCATCTGATGGGGGATCAACTGAGGCTTTTCTCCAAGGCCGCCACGTCCTGAAGCCACCAAAATCTAGCAGTGAGTCAACCGTTAACAAAGTAAGCATCAACGCCTCCAGGTCCTCTTTTTGGGGGGGAAACCAGAAACTTTCTCTTCCTCCTTCTTCTAAATCTGCGAGGTCAAGGCAGGGAGGGAAGCACGCAGGCGGTGGCTGGCGGTGGCTCCCTCGTGTCCTTCAGGCGTGATGGCTCTCCAGGAGCCATGCCTGCTGATGTGTGAAGGGGAGAATCATCCAGCAGCAGGAGAGAGGAAACACAGATGTGGCGGGCAGCGAAGGGGCACCGAGAGAGGGCATCGGGTGGGCCTAATCGTTGGCAGTGGAGGGAGGAAGCTGATCAGAAGACCCTTTTCCTCCTTCTCTCTTAATTCTAGAACCTGACACGGTTCGTCCCCTGAAGTCAAAAAGTGGGAAATTAAGGGACAGGAAGATGGAAGAGGTTTTTTCTTTCCACATCGTGAAACGGTGGAACTCACTGCCACAAGAAGCAGTCCCCGATTCGAACAGTGTTAGGAAAGGGACTGGATAGATTTGGGGTGTGTGTGGATGCAAATCATGAACAATATGTATCTCTCCCAGTTCTGGAGGCAGTAGACGTCTGTATGCTCGGGGAACATGGGCTGGAGAGCGCTGTTGCTCTTCCCCCTTGCTGGTGGGCAATGACTCTACTGAGGTCCGGTGCCATGATAGATACAATCAGCTTGTGTTGAGCCCTGGTTTGATTAGGGGGCCAAGGGACACAAGCACAGAGTAGCGGCCGCCTCACCCGTTTGGGCAGCCTGAGGATATACCCCCCACGCCACCCCAACTTGGGGTAGAGACCCCAAGTCTGAAACATCCTTTGTAACGAATTTTAAGCATTCAGAACGGTCTCACCCACATTTCGCACCTAAGCCACGCTTCCAATGTTAACAAAGCAAGCGGATGTATTTACAGTATTTGAAATTTGATTTTAAGGAGTTGATGAATGAATGAACAAACCACCATCAAAACTGGATGTTTTTTTCTGTTCTCCGTGGTGAAGGAAGGTGCTGCTAGAAAATTAAATGAGAAAACAGATGCGGTAATTAATCCACTGGGCATTCATTTTCTGGATGATCACTCGTCCCTAGGGACTTTTTTTTTTAAAAAAAATTGTCAGTAATTGTCGCTTTTAGAGCCTTTTTTGTGAGGCTCAACACAAAAGATTGTAATCCGGTTTGGGGAAGGAGAACCGTCACAGAAATGGATGGGTCAAGGCAGCCAGCGAAACGGTCAACAAAGATCGGCCAAAGATCTTTGCCCGCTGGTGGGGAGCCTGGCTCTGCTCCCACCAGTAACGGCCAGACCCTCTCCCCAGACGGTTTTGTGGGTTAAGCCGGGACTGACCTAAATGGAGCCGTGACCTCCCTAGCAATGGCCAGCCCCCCCCCCCTGACAACAGACACCCAGACGGTTTTGTGGGTTAAGACGGGACTGACCTAAATGGAGCCATGACCTCCCTCACCAGAGAAAGGAGTACCTCTGGCTTTCTTTCTTTTTTCTTTCGCTCCCCCTCTGGAAACCGAGTGCGAATTCCCAGTCCCTTCTGAACATGTCAAGTCACAAACCAGCCCGAAGAAGCCCCCCCCCCCCTGACAACAGACACCCAGACGGTTTTGTGGGTTAAGACGGGACTGACCTAAATGGAGCCATGACCTCCCTCACCAGAGAAAGGAGTACCTCTGGCTTTCTTTCTTTTTTCTTTCGCTCCCCCTCTGGAAACCGAGTGCGAATTCCCAGTCCCTTCTGAACATGTCAAGTCACAAACCAGCCCGAAGAAGCCACGGTGTCTCATATAAACTGGCTGGGGGGGGTTATTTAATCTGCAAGAAAAGTTTTCTATGTGCCCATAAAAAGTTTTCTATGTGCACATAAGCTGTCTGGACAGCTCGGTGAGTTAGGTCTCTGGTTGCAAAAAGCAGAGGTTGGGAGCTCAACATACACGCACCCCGAGCCTCCTTGGAGAACAGCCAGCCTGGGGGGCCTTGGGCAAGCTGCACACTCCCAGGGCAACCCCTTGAAAAAGGGAATTAGGGAACCACGCCTATGGCTTCTCCCTTGAAAAAGGGAATTAGGGAACCACGCCTGTGGGTTCTCCACGTAGAAAACCCTGAAAGAGGGTTGCCATAAGTCAGAATTTAAGTGATGGTACATGACAGATCGTTATATATATTATTAATAGGTTAATATATCAATTTATCAGTATCCATGCATTAATACATTACTCTATACCCCAGCCTGTCTTCTCAAAACTGATGCTATCGCAATGGTTTAGATCTAAATGCCCTTCTTCCCCATCCTGGCCGGGGATGTTACAAAGAGTGCCACCCACCCTCTGGAGGGTCCTCGGGTGGCTACAGTGGGGCTGGCCCTCCTGTGCCCCAAATCTCTTACACCAACTAAGAGAGGGACCCACATTTCTAGGGCAAAATGCAAGGCATCTGACCTTCCTCTCTTCCCCACATTTCCGCATACCGAGAAAACAAATACTGTGCGTTCCCTAGGCTCTCCGGGTTGCCGAAGATTTTGATTTCCTGGACCTCGGTAATTTAAGGGCCACCTCTTAAAGACCCTCCACCCTGGGGGCCAGATCAGAAGGATTCTGTCCGCTCCTTTCTCTCCAGGAGCATCCAGCCAGTTCTTCCCTGGTTCCGAAAGGGCAATCCTGGATCGGGAAAAGGAGACGCCACAGCCCGGGACTGGAAGCCAAACCGAGACTAGCCGGGAGCATCTGTTCTCTCCGGCTGCCTCCCCCCCCCATACACATCCCGTCCCCACCCCCGCACAGGAGCGCATTGGGAGGGAGGACCAACCCGCCGCCCGTCTGGCCTCGGCATGCGCCTCCCTCTTCTTCCCAGGTCTGCGCATTGTGCTGGAGAGCCAGGAGGCGGCGGAGGTGGGTGTGGGGAAGGGAAGATCCAACAGTAAGGGGGCAGGGGGGGCTCCCAGGCTTGGCGCAGGCTCCCAAACTCCCCCCCCCATTCCGTCGCCACGTTTCTCCAACCCCTTTCCAGCCAAGGAGAGCTTCAGCACCGCGGAGAGCGCACAGCGTCCGCTTTCAGCACCACGGAGAGCGCCCGGCTGTCGGCTTTCAGCACCACGGAGAGCGCACGGCCGGCCGGCCCCGTTGCGGAGCGGCGGCTCGGAGGGGGGGGGGATAGGGCCAGCAAGACAGCCCTTTAGCTCTCTAATTTTTTTTGGGGGGGGGGGGAGG